TAATGCGCATGTAAAGGTCATATGTAGCCAGGGTCCTGTATGGATACTGCCTGGAAATACACTGATGGTTCCTCACTGGTATGGGGGTACCGGTCTGGTCAGATCACACTGCTCCTCAGATCCACACACAGAAGCCTGAAATGCTGGGGCTGAGGTATGAAGGCTCAGTGCCAGGTATAAAAAGTAAAGGTGTTCATAGTGTAGTATTGCTAAATAAAGATTTATTAAAACCAATGTGCAAAATGAAACACATACATAAATGTGCCTGTAGCCTGTAGATGATGAAATGGGCTGTTAAAAACACCTAAAAGCACTGACCAGTATGACTCAAAGGGTGGCCGCCGGACCTCCTGATCCGGCGGCGTGACGTCAAGGCTTGCGAAGGCTCCTAGAAGTGTTGGAGTTGGCAAGCAAGTTTACATATGAATAATATGAAATACATTGTGCATTTAGTTAAGTTTTGATAATAGATGACAAAAGAGGCAATAGAGTTCAAGTACGCTAGAGATGGATGGGAAGGGACAATGCCACAGTATTAGACCTAGGTAACTCAACTAGTGAGATTAACAGGCTTTAAAGAAAGTTATCGGGGACGGGCTTCAGCGCAAGTAGTTCCTGAAAATCCTGACAGCATAGTGATAGTTACCAGTAGGAGGTAAAAAGCTCTAGCTAGTGAAGCTAACTTCCCCACACAGTGAGGAGGAGAGTCCCAGTTACACAGTGTGGACAAACAGGGTACTGGCAGTCTTAAAAGAATCCACTAGCATAAGCCAAAAAACCTCTCATGAAGGGGCAATCAAGGGGTGCTAATGAGAGTATGCTCCCGAAAATGGAACCAGGCATAGAAAAAAAAATGTCACGCTGAAGGAGAATGAGCAAGAACGATATCAGGATTAGACCCAGGTACCCTGGACAGTTAGGTGAGGAGCCAGAGAAGGATGCAGGATCAACCTAAAGGGAGAAGTATAAGCATCAGCATTTGGGCAAAGGATTCAAAGAATCTGCCACAGGAGCATTGTAGTAAAATTAATCCAAGACACCCTAAAATAAGACCGCTCAGGATTTTGATTAAGGGTCTAATAAAATAGCACCACAGAATTTGGTGCTTTTCTAGCAATGTGGCATTGATGGGTGTATAGATAGTTAATAAAACCCATAAAGCTGCATTTGCTATTAAAGAAGGTAGAAAATCTCACATGTGAAATGTAGTGAGATCTACAGGCGACCAGACAAAGCTTAGCTACTGCGGTAGACCTGCAGGAGATCTTGCAGAAGCCTAGTTACTGCAACAATTAGAACAGATCTTTTAAGGATATGATAGGACATGCTTCCCTAAATGGACAAGGGTTGCGATGTAGAATTTAGAAAGTCCTTGTAATTCTTCCTAAAAAAGGAAGATGACCACCCCTTATAACTAAAGGGAAGTTGTAGGGAAATGGTCTGCTTTTTGTGATGCTTTGAATAGTAAATAGAGGCAGTAGAAAGGAACAGAGAGGTCAGCTCTTTTGTGTAACTCTCCAAAAGACAGAGTGAAATGAAAGGCTGGGATGTCTGTTCTAAGCTTGAGCAAATATCAGTAGACATCCCCCACCTCAAGGGGTGCAGATGAATGTTCAATGTAAACATAATTTCTAAACCAGGTCCAGTGGGTTTAGAGGTGGAGATTTTGCCACAAAAGGCTAGACCTGCCGTATATGGCGACTCCTGGAAGGGTGAACAGATCATACATGTAAGGTAGGGGAAGAACAAAGTCACTGTAGCCACCATGTGGCAAAAAGATTAAGGATTAATTTATTGAAACATTAGTGGGAAAAATGTCCGAGTCCCCATAGCCTTCTTGCAAATTGGCAGTTTAGGATGTAATCCAGGGATAGAATTAGGGAAGGGGGAAGGGGGGAGGGGGCTGGAGAAAGTTTATGGCTGTTGGCACCTGCTGTGCCCAGAACTAGTGATGGCCTCTGGAGTAGATCAGATTTAATGGCAGAAAATTTAGTTTCAGACAGACAGGCTGCATGTTGTGTATTTGTTGGTGAGCCTGAATCAGGGGGATGGAGCAGTGTTCGTGGACAGCCTTGTTCCAGAGCAAGAGAACTGCCATCAACCTGATAGGTACTTGGGATTCCTCAGGGCCTGCAGCAGACTTCTGCACTGTTTGTACCATGTGCTCCCACTCCCAAGCACCTGTAATCTACCATTGCTAAATGAGGATCTTCCACTCATGGTATTTCAGTGGATTCACAATAACCCAAGTGCGGAGTTCTTGTTGCTGCGTCTCTGAAGTATCAGGCAACAGGTGAGACAGCAAACGACCGGCGAATGTTGGCGGCGGAAGATGGCAGCCGTAAGTGCAAAGAAGAGCCAAATAGGCACTATGTCACCAGCTAAAAAGGAACTTCTGGTAGTCAGGTGGAAGAAAAAGACACCAAATATAAAACCGGTATAAAAACTTTATTAATGTTACCTATAAGGTTGGATAGGTGAGACAATGACAACTCGGGCAAAAACACTTGAAGTGTAAATTACCCCATAACGTGCTTCTTGTAGGATAAAATTATATTTAAAAAAAAAAAAAGGAAAGAAAGCGCAGACCCTAGAGCAGTTAATCCTTTTATTATTAATTAAAAAGTTAAAACCAGTATAGTCAATTTTTTTCAGTGAATGTACAAGCACATCCATTATAAATGAGATCTGGTGGAGGGATTTGTGTAGAGACTTTTAGCCACCTATCACATGCACATACAGACTGAGCTGCTGGAGGAAGTAATAGAGCCGGCACTTGTATGCCTGTCAATCCCACTGTGTTGCCAGGGACCCGGAAAATGTCCAGGGACTGGGGTTAGCCCAAAAAGAGTGGATGCTTGTACTGCATGTGAAGCACTGTAAACAGGCTGCTTAAATCAGCCAGTTACAAACACAGCTGGAGGAAAACTCAGATAACATATGCTGAAAAGAAAAAAATAAAAAAAACCCTTCACATGGGCTGATACACCTGGTGGCATTCTGTTGCCATGGCAATGTGTTTTGGGGGGGGGGGGGTGTTCCCCCTTTTCCAAGGCCACGGCATTACTGACTACTCCTGCAATTAATCTGGTGGCAAGTTAACACCTTACGGTTAATATTAAAAGTGGATATATATTTTATCACATACAAGCGCTAAATAACTGCATAAACATAATAGAGCCGAAACATATTACGTTCAGTATTAGTTTTTATTGCAAAGGTACAGGGAAAGCCTTTGTTACTTTGTCAGAATTGCTGGTCTCACCCAGAATCCAGGCTTTGCCTGTCATGACTAGAGCCCTCTGTTCCTCTAAGATTGTAAGCTCTAACGAGCAGGGCCCTCTGTTTCCTCTTGTACCAAATTGTATTGTAACTGTAATGTCTACCTTCATTCTGTAAATCACTGTGCAAACTGTTGGCGCTATATAAATCCTGTATAATAATAATGACTGGCATACCGCCAAAGGGATTGGGTGCTATAAAAATGGACCATGGCCCTGGACCTGTAAAATATCCTGAGGATAACTCATGAGCATCAAAAGTATCCAAACGCCCAAAGCAAATATTACAGTCTGAGGCCACTGTTGCAGGGTCCAGGTATGGCATCCAAGATGTACATCAAGGGTAACTGATCCAGAAACTTCTCATGAGCAATCAGCAGTCAGACCTTGATAGTAGTGTCAGTTCAAAAAAGAATGAAAACTGGTTAAAAAAAGAAAATATTCTGCAGCATCACCTTCGGAGACTTGCAAAAACTGGAGCCTCAGAGTGGGTGGGGTTATATTGACTTGACACATTGAGGGGTGGTCACGGCAAAGCTTTCGCCATAGCAATCACCTCAATTTAAAGGCATACTGTATAACCCATGGTCTAAGAATCAATACCCCTGTCCTGCACTGTACAATTAAAATGTTGACTTTTCCATAGAAAATCTAAATATGTAATAATGTATAGTAAAGTATACAATTAAACTGTAACATGGCCTGCCAGCTTCAAAAGACATCTAGTAAATGAACACACAAAGAACCTGACCTCCACATAGTCAGGTACACATACACAATCTCTAAGAGAGTGTATTATGCTTTGCCGGGGAAGAATCAGCAGTAGGTGCCCTGATGTCTGCCTAATGCTGCTTCTTTTCCTGCCATTGCTGACTGCTAGATTTTTTTTTTCATTATTTCAACTAGGTTTAGGAGAAGTGCTGCAAAGCATACAAAAAAGTTTGGCAACCTTCGTACTGGATTTTGGATTTTAAACATTGTGAAACCACAGTTTTGTCATTCTGGAAGACACACTCTGTTCTTAGATCATTTCTGACATACAGTGAACACAGCAATAAGTGTGACCCCCTCCCCATGCAGAGGAATCTGGGTCCTTGAAACCAGGGCAGAAGACAGTACAGGAGGGCATTCCCACAGGATTTGAGCATCTCCTCGCGTGTAGTGAAGCGCGATAACATGACCCATGCCTCCTAGAGGAGGCCAGGTTCCCAAGTAAATATTTTCTTTCTTAGAATGATGCATTTTTGCCCAGTCTTTATATATTTTTTCTTATACAGTTGTTGCAGAACTGTAATGCAAACTGGACCTAGAAGGTCTGCTTAATTTATACTTGAAAATATTTTTCATCCCACCTATAAATTACTTTTTGATGAATGGCCTACTAGAGCAGATTAAAAGCAAATATTAAAAGTAAGCCTTTTCACTATAATTGGCAGATAGAACATTGCTAGGATTTAAAAAAAAACAAACAAATTTTGCTTTGTTATTCTAGCGAGTAGAATAGAAATCAACGAAGAAAGCTTAAGCTTGAAAGAAAGGTACCACAACCAGAAGGCACTTTATAGAACCTGAAAACATGGGCTTTTAGCTATATGAAAAAACTTAAAATTTAGGCTTTAGTTGTAGTCCTTTTGGAGCTTACAGGCTACATGGCTCCTGCAGTCTGTCAAGCTTTAATGAGCTTTGATTGAGCATGAAAAGCAGATTATTAGCACTTACCGAAGATTCACTATCTCTGATTAGGAAGTCCCCCTCATGTCCTCGTTCATTGAGTGCCATTTCTGCCTGGTGCCGTGTAACTTTTCCATAATACCACGGATGGCCAGCAAAGCGTCCAGAGACAGATGGCCCTATATAATCACAGCGGGGAGGCAATGGCTCATAACCTGAGCTGGACTGAAAGTTCTGCATTATAGTGACGTAGTTCTTTGGTACAAGACCCACCAGGCCATTGCTCTTTCGGCATTTCCACCATTCAGGATCATTCTCTGGCTTCTCAATCACATCCATCATTTCGCCTTTCTCAAAATTAAGCTCCTCCTCATTGGATGAGCTAAAAGGATACAATGCCTGGACCACATGAAGTGAGCGACCATTGTTGAGATTGTTGACAACTGCTGCCAATTTTTCCGATAAAGTTCCTACTTGGTCACCAGAGGGGCTATCATTCTCCTCAGTCACGTAGTTGGAGGGGAACCAGCCTATACGTCCATTGTAACTGCCCCTCCACCAGCCGTCACTGCACTTTTCCATTACAATCACCTTCGTGCCTTTCACTAAAGATAGCTCATCATCCCTTTCAGCTGTATATGTGAACTTAACATAAGCTGGCATGTTAAGATCATACAGACGTTCTGTGTCAGAGTAGCTTTCATCTGCTGTGGAAGAGGAATCAGGCATGTTCGTTTTCCGCTTCACTTTTCCAATACCTGTAATACAAACACAAAATAAAAACATTCAGAAAATTACTGTAATAAAATTTCTTAAAATCATATCTAAAGATCAAACCTTTTGTATACAGAAGGGAATTAGTAAAACCCGTTTTTTTTATTTTCCATATTTTGGTTTTTCAAAGTTTTAGACTTTTTACTCACTTTGTTGATAGTGGTGTTTGTGGCGATAGTGGTAACCAGGTCAAATTAAAAGGGTAAATCTCCTTAAAGTGGAACTAACCCTCATCAATTTAACTGATCCCAAAACCGTTCCATTCAAAGCATGCCGTGAACATTAACGGTCACAGTTGCTTGTGCTCTCAACCAAATTATGCTGCAGATCAAATAGAGGCTAAGGTTGCAGCTTCTGTGGCTATAAAGGAAAGGAAGGCTTAGTTCTGCTTTAATGGGGGCACAGACAGCAATAAATCTTAACACAAGTTCTGAACCCAGAGCACTCTATACAAATGCAAAGGAAAAAAAAAAAAAACGGCTTTAGATGCATTAACTATCCTTGAGAATTATAAAACGTGGGAATAAAACACCTATAGCCAGATGGCGGCCGGGCAAACAGCTCGTCCCTCTGGGTGGACGCCACATGGCGTCCTTTCAGGCATGCGCATGGCGCCTGCCCGCAGGGCCATGCAGCAGCGTGATCTGTCACCGGCCATGTACCTCGGGTCTGTGTACCGGCCCCGTTGACAGTACCATGTGACCTATCATAGCAGGTCACATGACAGTTGTATACAATGGATGGCTTCCTTTCATGCCATTCATTGTATACAAATATCTAGCTGTGAATGGTCACAGCGATCACATGCACAAGCTGGGCCAATCACAGCCCAGCTGTGTCACGTGATTAGCTGTGACCAAATCACAGCTAAGCACAAAAAAAAAAAAAAAAACCCTGAATGAATTGATTTCATTCAGTTAAATGCTTGCTTATAGCAAAGAAATTCTTTGCTATAAGCAAATTGTGTAAAAAAAAAAAAAAAATACTGATACACTTCCTCAAAGTAGTACAATGTTCCTATGGTAACATAATACTACTTTGGTCAAAGTGAAATATGAAAAAAAAAAAAAAAAAAGAAAAACCGTATTAAAAATACCTTTTTTTTTTTTTTTCTAAGTTATCAAATTTTTTTTCGTACTGTCACCAGTCAGTGTCCCTGATCACCACCATGCCAGTTATATGATTACCCTGTACTGCACTGGTGACAATATGTAAAAAAAAAAAAAAAAAATAGTGACAAAAAAATTACAACTTCAAAAAACTTGCGATGCCTCTTATGAAATACGTCGGACTGTCTTCTTTGCAAAAAGGGGTCATTTGGGGGATATCTGTACTGTTCTGACATTCTTGGACCTCAAGAAATTAGATTGGCCATCAGTACTTCAGGATTGATCAATTTGCAGATCTATACCATAGTTTGTGAACTCTATAACTTTCCTACAAACTAAAAAATATGTCCTAATTTGGGTTATTTTCACCAAGGAAATGTAGTAGAATACATCTTGGCCTAAATTTATGAATAATTATTTATTTGCAAACTTTTATAACAGAAACAAAAAAAACTTTTTTTTCAAAATATTTTTTGTTAAATTTAGCAAAAACTCAAAACCCCAGTGGTGATTAACTACCACCAAACGAAAGCTCTAGTTGTGTGAAGAAAATGATAAAATTTTAGTTTGGGTACAATGTTGTATGACCGCACAATTGTCATTCAAGGTGTGAGCGCTGAAACCTGAAAATTGGCCTGGGCAGGAAGGGGGTAAAAGTGCCCTGTATGCAAGCAGTTATTCACTGCGGTACCGAGGAACAGGTAAGTGTCCATTTTTAAAATTTTGTTACATTTTCACTGGAACTCCGCTTTAAGCAGAAATGCCTGTAAATTGCGTGCATTCCAGCACCCGCAGACAAAATGCACTGCTATCAGATGCGCTGGTGGGCCATTAATTCCTAATGACATCCCCACGCATCTGAAAAAGCAGAATGTTTTTGAGTGCATGAAATCGCATAATGCAAAAGAGGCAAAGATTTTGAAAAGGTGAAAAATGAATGGGTCAGGCACCGCCCGGCGGGATCTCTAGTGATCCACAGAATGGGATTCCCCAGGACGCGGAGTCTAAGTCCCAGTCTGCCTTTTCACCAGAGCCCCCGATGGTGGGGATGGACTTGGTGCAAGACTGAAACCAGGTCGCGACCCCTGAGTGCATCCAACTGTGGTAGAGGGGTCCCGCTGAGGGTATGTGCCAGGGGTGAGCCTGATGTGAAGAGGCTGACAGGTCCAGATCCCGAGCGGGATGGATGGATGACAGTCAGGAGTAAGTGTAATCAGACTAGCCGGGTCGGTAATAGTGGAGGCAGGTAGGTACCAAGCAGTAGACAGAGAATAGCCGGGTCACAAGCCAAGGTTCAGCAACGGAAGGTCCAATAATAGTATAAGCAGCAGGCAGAAGAGCAGTCAGGGACGAGCCGGGGGTCAGAGCAGGAGAAGGTCAACAACTATCAGGACAAGCAAGAACGGCAACAGGAACACACTTCAGAACTCAGGTACAGGAACTAGACCTTGCGGCAACGTGATCACCGCCTGGCCAGTTTAAATAGTGCGCCCTGCACCGTCATTGGTGCCAGGCGAGTGCGCATGCGCGGCCGCAATTGCCGCCGCGGACGCCCAGGTCCTACTGCCTGCACATTAGTGCGCCTAGGCAATCTGCGCATGCGCAGACCTGTGCGCCGCGGCGAGACCCTTAGTCCCTGACAGAATGGGCTGCTGTGCCAGTGCAAATGCAGCATGCAGACAATGATGTGAACCTAACTTAAGAAACAAAAAAAAATACAGGGCCATTAAAAGAGAAGTATTGGTTTTGTTTTTCTCTTTCTTTAAATCATACTTACCTAGGTAAGCGGTCATCTGAAAATGCATCACAGGAGTGCAGTTCATTCACAGAAGTACAGCCAAGTAAGGTGTACTTCTCCTTAAATTAGTGGATATATATGGATAGGAGAATAGAATAGAGAGTCAATTTAACCACTTTTCTACCATAAAAACTTTCAGGTTTTGCACATACAACCCCAATTACAAAAAAGTTGGGATGCTGTGTAAAAATCTACATAAAAACAGAATGCAATGATTTGAAAATCTCAAACCCATATTTTACTTACAAAAGAAAATAGAAAACATATCAAATGGTAAAAAACTGAGAACATGTACCATTTTATAGAAAAGGGAACACGTCTCAAAAAAGTTGGGACTGGGCAATAAAAATTTGACAAAGTACAACCTCACTGCCAGAAAAGTTGGGACAGGGTTATGTTAACCACGGTGTAGTATCCACTCTTCCTAACAACACTATGTAAACATGTGGGAACTAAGGAGATCAGTTGCTGGAGTTTTAGGAGAGGAATGTCCCATTCTTGCATGAGCATAAGCTGCTCTAAAACCGGAATATATCTTTCGGTACTGATGGTGCCTTTCTAGAATTGCCAGTTACCCATTCCATATGCACAGAAATGCAGGATTTTGAACTGAGTGCCAATATGCCCGACGATCAACATCCTCTAATCCAGAGGATGCGGCACCCAAAGTTGCCAAAATAATGAGTACTTATGCCAGTGTACTGTATTTTATTGTTATAAGCAACCATCTGGGGGGGGGGGGGGGGTTTGTTTAGGGTGGAGAGGCAGGGAGGGGGGTGTTTGAGAACCCCACAGCTGCCAATCACTGCCTTGCACTACAACAACCAGCAGACCCACCCTCCTCCCCTTAAAGAAGATCTGCAACAGCTTAGACACCCAGGGAAAGTTGTCAGATATGGGGGGAGGGCAAGCCTGGCTCAGGGCAGGACACTTTAGCACTGGGACACACTACTCACCAGAGTAGAATCCTCACAGAGCCACCTCGAGGAGGGGGAACAGAAGGTCGCCAGGAAGAGGCTCTGACTGAGCTAAGGGTGCGGGACCAGCAGAGGGGACACTGTATGCGGGGACACTTAACCCTTGCCGCAGCTGTAGCACCTGCCAATATCATCCATGGGTGCAGTGTACGTCAGAGGCACATGTTCAGTTAACACCCCGCACCCATGGATGATACGACACTGGTCTGATGGCAGCGCTGGTCCCCTGAAAAAATGCCGTTGAAGGCAAACGCCTTGTTTGCCTCACAATAGATATGAAACCACCTGCAGCGGCTGGTACACTGATCGGTGATCCACTGTGTCTAAGCTGCATTTGGTTATGGCAGCTGGGCTGGTGTAGTTTAACTGCTATGGCAGCTGGGCGTGTGTTTAAATCTCTGTTCTACCAGCCACCATTTAAAAACGGGGACAGTGGACAAGTGGTTAATGTATGTAAACCGTAGCAATAAAAACATTCCTTATATACTCCTTTATGGTCTGCTTTCCAAGTTTTTATTAAGGACTACAGAATGACTAACCTTTATATTTTAGAGATCTAAGAGTGGGAGTAGATCATTAATATAGTAATAGAAACTTGGCATAGCTGACAACACTCAGTCCAGAAAAAATGTGTTGTCAGCCCCCAACTGGGCTTTAGAGATGAAGGCAGTTAAAAAAAAATATACTTCTGTACTTGCAGAGATTTTAAAGAGACAAAATACAAGGAAAGATGTATATATTGCACAGACGTACTGCATATGTGTTTTCATTTTTTTTTTCCCAATACACGTTAATGACCTGATGGATATGCAACAAAGTGCCTCTACCTATGAAATCTATGCCAGCTCTGAAGCAATCCTACCGAAGAGCCATTAATCCTGCCACTCCCTGACTTGTGATGACAGGACTCTCAGCAGTGTTCCTACAACTGATAATCACCCACTAGAGATCGTGCCTCCGTGTCTTAATGACGCCGGATGCATTTCAGCTGTTTAACATTTGGTTGCTGGAATTATTTCAAACATTCTTTCCTGAGACTTTAATGTCTTTTTCCTGTTGTGCACAGCGGCATCCTGCTAAAATCTTCTTACAAAACACCT